TAGTGGATTCGACCTCACTAATGCTCTTGTGGCTGAATGGAAGCAAGTCCCCGCAACAATGTTCCAACATCTAGCGGAAAGCCTTCCCAGAAGAGTGGAGGCTGTTATAGCAGCAAAGGGGGGACCAACTCCATATTAATGCCCATGATTTTGGAATGAGATGTTCGAGGAGCAGGTGTCCACAAACTTTTGGACATATAGTGTACCTACACTGAGTGGACAAAACATTAAGAACACCTGCTCTTTCCATGACATAGACTGACCAGGTGAAAGCTATGATCCATTATTGATGTCACTTGTTAAATCCACTTCAATCAGTGTAGATGAAGGGGAGGAGACCGGTTACAGAAGGATTTTTAAGCCTTGAGACAATTGAGACATGGATTGTGTACGTGTGCCATTCAGAGGGTGAATTGGCAAGACAAAATATTTAAGTGTCTTTGAACGGGGTATGGTAGTAGGTGCCAGGCTCGCCGGTTTGTGTCAAGAATTGCAACGCTGCTGGGTTTTTCACGCTCAACAGTTTCCCGTGTGTATCAAGAATGGGAAGCATTGGAATCATCATGGGCCAGCATCCCTGTGGAACACTTTAGACACCTTCTGTTGTTCTAATGTTCTAGAGTTCTTTCTTTCTGAGGGGATAATGACTTGAATTGTATGGAATTGTGCCATGTCATTATGTCTGTGTGAAGTGATCTAGGATCAGATTACCCCCCTATGGAATTGTGCCATGTCATTATGTCTGTGTGAACTGATCTAGGATCAGATTACCCCCCCCTCTCTATGGAAGTGTACGTGCGTAGCTACGGAGGCTGGATGTTATCAGTGATGTTATAATGTGTTATTGTTGTTGTAATGTTTCTCTCTAGCTCTACTTTACTGAGATGCCCTCTATGGATGTGTACGTGCGTAGCTACGGAGGCTGGATGTTATCAGTGACCTCCAGGCTTCATGCTCACCTACTGACCAAGGAGCTGACCAGGGTCCAGGCTGATTACAACCACACCTACCACTACGGAGTGGGTTACGACAGGTAGGTCAGAGTCCAGGCTGACTACAACCACACCTACCACTACGGAGTGGGTTACGACAGGTAGGTCAGAGTCCAGGCTGATTACAACCACACCTACCACTACGGAGTGGGTTACGACAGGTAGGTCATAGTCCAGGCTGATTACAACCACACCTACCACTACGGAGTGGGTTACGACAGGTAGGTCAGGGTCCAGGCTGATTACAACCACACCTACCACTACGTAATGGGTTACGACAGGTAGGTCAGAGTCCAGGCTGATTACAACCACACCTACCACTACGGAGTGGGTTACGACAGGTAGGTCAGAGTCCAGGCTGATTACAACCACACCTACCACTACGGAGTGGGTTACGACAGGTAGGTCAGAGTCCACAGGCCTGATTTACAACCCCGACACCTACCACTACGGAGTGGGTACGACGTAGGTCAGGGTCAGGTGATACAACCACACCTACATACGGAGTGGGTTACGACAGGTAGGTCAGAGCCAGGAGTCTAGGAGTGGGAGTAGGTCATGGTCCAGGCCAACCACACCACTAGTAATGGGTTACGACAGGTAGGTCGAGTCCAGGGTTATAACCACACCTACCAATGAGGGGTTAGGTCAGGTCCAGGCGATTACAACCACTCCACTACGGAGGGGTACAGGAGGTCAGGTCAGGCGGTTACAACTACCTACACTACGGAGTGGGTTACAACAGGTAGGTCAGGTTCCAGGCTGTTACACCACCCACCATACGGAGTGGGTTACAACAGGTAGGTCAGGTTCCAGGCTGATTTCAACCACACCTACCACTACGGAGTGGGTTACAACAGGTAGGTCAGGTTCCAGGCTGATTACAACCACACCTACCACTACGGAGTGGGTTACAACAGGTAGGTCAGGGTCCAGGCTGATTACAACCACACCTACCACTACGGAGTGGGTTACAACAGGTAGGTCAGGGTCCAGGCTGATTACAACCACACCTACCACTACGGAGTGGGTTACGACAGGTAGGTCAGGTTCCAGGCTGATTACAACCGCACCTACCACTACGGAGTGGGTTACAACAGGTAGGTCAGGTTCCAGGCTGATTTCAACCACACCTACCACTACGGAGTGGGTTACAACAGGTAGGTCAGGTTCCAGGCTGATTACAACCACACCTACCACTACGGAGTGGGTTACAACAGGTAGGTCAGGGTCCAGGCTGATTACAACCACACCTACCACTACGGAGTGGGTTACAACAGGTAGGTCAGGGTCCAGGCTGATTACAACCACACCTACCACTACGGAGTGGGTTACGACAGGTAGGCCTAATCTAATCTCAGATACACACACACACACATTCTGATCTCAGAAATACACACACACCCCTCTCCCTCTCTCTCTCTCTCTCTCTCTCTCTCTCTCTCTCTCTCTCTCTCTCTCGCTTTCCACCCTCTCTCTCTCTCTTTCTCTCTCTCTCTCACTCTGTCTCTGTCCCTCTCTCTCTCTATCCCACTTCCTATGTGACCCCCCCCTCTCTCTTTCTTTCTCTCTCTCTCTCTCTCTGTCAGTATTGATTATGTCCTGTGTTTCTCTCCAGTCCTCTGAAGCTGCTGAACAGACACAACGAGGTGTGGTACGTAGCTGAGGGAGAGGCCGTCTGCTCTGACCCCCAGGAACCAACCCCGCCACACACACCTACCCCCACACACACACCCGCCTCACACACACCCAACGCCACACACACACCCGACGCACACACACCCAACGCCACACACAACCCCCCCCAGCACCATCTCTGACTCCCCCTCAGATCTCCCCGCCAACCGGCCACCAACCCCCTCCCAGGCCCCCGAGGTGACCCCGTCTCAGAGCCCAGTGGTCGGGGAGACCCCCTCGGCCAACAGCTCTGACCCCCAGGCGGACAACCCCTGGAACAACACTGTAGAGGCCTCCCTGGAGGACACCCCCTCTGTTAACTCTGTAGACGGCCCCACTAACCTGAACCTGGCCTAGCCCTAGAATATTATACATGGCCCTGAACAGTAGAGGGGTATGGAGGGATGCTGTGGTGATGGAGCTCATTCAGTTAGAAGTCCATTTGGGATTGGGCCCTTGCCTCAGTATTTACTGTAATACACCACCACCCCTACTGGTGTCATAGTGTTACTACACATAATAGATTTATTCACCTGCTGCTGACCTGCTCTCCATGTTACCACGCTCAGCTGACCTCCTCTCCATGTTACCACGCTCAGCTGACCTGCTCTCCATGTTACCACGCTCAGCTGACCTCCTCTCCATGTTACCACACTCAGCTGACCTGCTCTCCATGTTACCACGCTCAGCTGACCTGCTCTCCATGTTACCACGCTCAGCTGACCTGCTCTCCATGTTACCACGCTCAGCTGACCTCCTCTCCATGTTACCACGCTCAGCTGACCTGCTCTCCATGTTACCACGCTCAGCTGACCTCCTCTCCATGTTACCACACGCAGATGACCTGTTATTTATGTATCATATAAATTAATTAATCAATCAACAAATCAACAACACTCTTGGATCTGCTTACCATATCCCTCCTTCCATAATGAAATGTTAGCCCTGCATAAGAACTGTGTTGGTTTGATAGTTGGTGTTAAGGATACTGCTGCAGTAGATGCTGATAGCCAGTTAATTAACAGACGACCAAAGAAGGAGAACCTATAGGATTAAATGAGACCAGACTATATAGTTGTAGGTGGTAGAACAGAAGAAAATATGATAGAACAACAGTATTGTAGATCTAACCCTGGCCAATGGCAGTGCTGTAGATCTAACCCTGGCCAATGGCAGTGCTGTAGATCTAACCCTGGCCAATGCAGTGCTGTAGATGTAACCCTGGCCAATGGCAGTGCTGTAGATGTAACCCTGGCCAATGGCAGTGCTGTAGATCTAACCCTGGCCAATGGCAGTGCTGTAGATCTGGCCAATGGCAGTGCTGTAGATCTAACCCTGGCCAATGGCAGTGCTGTAGCTCTAACCCTGGCCAATGGCAGTGCTGTAGCTCTAACCCTGGCCAATGGCAGTGCGTAGATGAGTATCTAACCCTGGCCAATGGCAGTGCTGTTACGCAATGATCTGTAGATCTAACCCTGGCCAATGGCATGCTGTAGACTAACCCTGGCCAATGGCAGTGCTGTAGATCTAACCCTGGCAATGGCAGTGCTGTAGATCTAACCCTGGCCAATGGCAGTGCTGTAGATCTAACCCTGGCCAATGGCAGTGCTGTAGATCTAACCCTGGCCAATGGCAGTGCTGTAGATCTAACCCTGGCCAATGGCAGTGCTGTAGATGTAACCCTGGCCAATGGCAGTGCTGTAGATCTAACCCTGGCCAATGGCAGTGCTGTAGATCTAACCCTGGCCAATGGCAGTGCTGTAGCAGTATGGAAGCTTTATTCTCCTGTATCATTATTTATTGTTTACAGATAGACTGATTTATTTCTGTCCCGCTGACTAGACCCATTGTCGTCCCAGTTGTGTATTTATCTGTAATGATTTATACCTTTATTCTGTGTAGTTTGCCAGCCGCGTTTACATTCAGCTTGAAATCAGTCGGTAGCGTGTAATTACTCACCATGGTGTCTATATGATTCTATGGTGTGTGTGAGAATGCTTAACTTGTATCATTAGTAAAATAGTAGAAATGTAACAATTAAAAGTGATTGACTGATGTTTAATCTGTAGTTGTACCTGAGAAGGTTTCTGTTAGTGTGGTTGTAATATCTGTAAAATCCTGAGGATGGCGCAATAAAACACTAAAACAAACGTACTGAGTCATGTAATTATTATTGTGTGGCTTTGGACTTCACTAAACCAGAGTTCATAAACGTATATGGCTTCATAGACTTGTCTTCAATGATTCCCAGACCCAGATTAAACCTAGTCCTGGACTAAAACACCCTTTTTGGAGATTGGTGTTTAATCAAGGACTAGGTTTAATCTGTGTCTGGGACACCAGTTTATAAATGTAAAGTCACAGATCAGGAGGGAGCATGTAGTCTGAGGTCAGTCGATGTCCATTCAACCACATTTTGACTCAATTAACCCTAGTCAGGATTAAACCTACTCCTGGATTCATCTAATCTGCGAAAACAGCCCACAAAAATGAGTTTCCCGGCCCCAGATTACAGCTCTACTCCTGGGCCCTGGTATTCATAAAGTACCTCAGAGTAGGAGTGCTGATCTGGGATCAGGCCCCACCTATCGTCTAAAATACTAAATGTATCATAGATCATAATACTTTGACTAACACATGATCAATTTAGCGTAATCTTAAACAATAAAATACTCAGTAAAACACAAAGAAAACACCATCTCAGTGTAGGGTTAGGTTTTATTAAAACAGAAGAGAGATCGGCTACACGTCATGATGTTCGGGTCAGAAGGTGGACTGTGTGTGTTCTGTCAGGTGAGCTGTGTGTTAGCAGTGTGTTTCAGATTGACACCATCACAGGTCGTGGTCAGGTTGGGTGTTACCTTCCTGGGGATGTGTTGGGAGGGGGGGTGGGTACTGTGTGTGTGTGTGTGAGCGTGTGTGTGTGTGAGCGTGTGTGTTGGGGGGTTAGGGGAGGTAGGGGTAGGGGGTTTCGTGGTCCTGGAGAGTGTTGTGACGTGGATCAGAGAAGGGAATCACTATATGGGAACTATGGTAATATCACCGGTAGAGACTTTACCTGGAGGAGAGTGTGTGAGAGAGAGAGAGAGAGAGAGAGAGAGAGAGAGAGAGAGAGAGAGACATTGAGTAGCAAAATCTTTGTTTCAATGTTGTAACTTCCATGGTGGAGCTGGTCTAGTGATTATATCTCTATGTTCACCTTCCATGGTGGAGCTGGTCTAGTGATTATATCTCTATGTTCACCTTCCATGGTGGAGCTGGTCTAATGATTATATCTCTATGTTCACCTTCCATGGTGGAGCTGGTCTAGTTATTATATCTCTATGTTCACCTTCCATGGTGGAGCTGGTCTAATGATTATATCTCTATGTTCACCTTCCATGGTGGAGCTGGTCTAATGATTATATCTCTATGTTCACCTTCCATGGTGGAGGAGCTGGTCTAGTTATTATATCTCTATGTTCACCTTCCATGGTGGAGGAGCTGGTCTAGTTATTATATCTCTATGTTCACCTTCCATGGTGGAGGAGCTGGTCTAGTTATTATATCTCTATGTTCACCTTCCATGGTGGAGCTGGTCTAGTTATTATATCTCTATGTTCACCTTCCATGGTGGAGGAGCTGGTCTAGTGATTATATCTCTATGTTCACCTTCCATGGTGGAGGAGCTGGTCTAGTTATTATATCTCTATGTTCACCTTCCATGGTGGAGGAGCTGGTCTAGTGATTATATCTCTATGTTCACCTTCCATGGTGGAGCTGGTCGAGAAGCTGGAGGTCATGCCGACGCCCGATGACATCATCGTGGAACCTCCGCTGGACACAGTGCCGCCTCCTGATGATACTGTAGCTGTGCCTCCCTCCATGGCTGCTCCCCCGCCGGACACCATTGCAGGGCCTCCTGATGACATCATGGCTGCTCCCCCGCCGGACACCATTGCAGGGCCTCCTGATGACATCATGGCTGCTCCCCCGCCGGACACCATTGCAGGGCCTACTGATGACATCATGGCTGCTCCCCCGCCGGACACCATTGCAGGGCCTCCTGATGACATCATGGCTGCTCCCCCGCCGGACACCATTGCAGGGCCTCCTGATGACATCATGGCTGCTCCCCCGCCGGACACCATTGCAGGGCCTCCTGATGACATCATGGCTGCTCCCCCGCCGGACACCATTTCGGGTCCTCCTGATGACACCGTGGCTGGTCCTGATGACACTGTGGCTGGTCCTGGTGACACAGTGGCTGGTCCTGATGACACCGTGGCTTCTCCCCCACTGGACACCATCGCGGCACCTCCTGATGACACCGTGGCTGGTCCTGATGACACCGTGGCTGGTCCTGATGACACAGTGGCTGGTCCTGATGACACCGTGGCTGGTCCTGATGACACCGTGGCTGGTCCTGATGACACCGTGGCTGGTCCTGATGACACCGTGGCTGGTCCTAATGACACCGTGGCTGGTCCTGATGACACCGTGGCTGCTCCCCCACCAGACACTATCGCGACGCCTCCTGATGACGCCGTGCCACTTCCTGATGATGCCATACCGCCTCCTGATGATGCCATACCGCCTCCTGATGATGCCGTGCCGCCTCCTGATGATGCCGTGCCGCCTCCTGATGACGCCGTGCTGCTTCCTGATGACGCCATACCACCTCCTGATGATGCCGTACCGCCTCCTGATGGTGCCGTGCCGCCTGCTGATGGCGCCGTGCCGCCTCCTGATGGCGCCGTGCCGCCTCCTGATGGCGCCGTGCCGCCTCCTAAAGGCGCCGTGCCGCCTGCTGATGATGCCGTGCCGCCTGCTGATGGCGCCGTGCCGCCTACTGATGGCGCTGTGCCGCCTGCTGATGATGCCGTGCTGCCAGCTGATGGCGCCATACCGCCTCCTGATGACGCCGTGCCGCCTCCTGATGACGCTGTGCCGCCTCCTGATGACGCCGTGCCGCCTCCTGATGGTGCCGTGCCGCCTGCTGATGACACCGTAGCTGCACCGGCTGTGCCTCCCTCCATGGCTGCACCTCCTCCTGAACTGCTAGAGGAGACCTCTGTGACAGTGGTCTTAGTGATCACCATGCCTCCCTCCATGGCTGCTCCCCCGCCGGACATCATCGTGGAACCTCTGCCGGACACCGTGCCTCCTCCTGATGGCGCAATGCTGCCTCCTGATGGCGCCGTGCCTCCTCCTGATGGCGCCGTGCCTCCTCCTGATGGCACCGTGCCTCCTCCTGATGGCACCGTGCCTCCTCCTGTTTGCGCCGTGCCTCCTCCTGATGGCGCGGTGCCTCCTCCTGTTTGCGCCGTGCCTCCTCCTGATGGCGCCATGCCTCCTCCTGTTTGCGCCGTGCCGCCTCCTGATGACACCGTGGCTGATCCCCCGCCGGACACCATTGCGGAGCCTCCTGATGACATCATGGCTGCCCCGCCCCCAGAACTGCTGGAGGAAGAGCTAGTGGAACGCATCAACATGGAACTTCCTCCAATCTCCACCCCTCCTACTACTCCTCCCGATGATTTCACCTCCGACACAATGGTTCTGGTCACAACAGTCTTACCTGAGTACATAGATAACACATGTTAATAAGACGTTTAAAACATTTAGATATTAAGCAGTAGTCCGTCACAGTGGGGGGCGTCTTATTACCCGTAAAAACACGGAAATGCTTCCAATGATTTTTCCGCCATTCATTTTTCACATCGTGAATTTTACAAACACTTCAAATGAAGTGGGTGTTTGGTGTAGTCTTACAGTGCATTGGGAAAGTATTCAGTCTCCTTCCCTTTTTCCACATTTTGTTACATTACAGCCTTATTCTAAAATTGGTTAAATAAATATTTTCCTCATCAATCTACACACAATACCCCATAATGACAAAGTGAAAACAGGTTTGTAGAAATGTTTGCGAATTTATTACAAATAAAAAACCTTATTTATACTTTATTTACATATGTATTCAGACCCTTTGCTATGAGACTCGAAATTGAGCTCAAGTGCATCCTGTTTCCATTGATCATCCTTGAGATGTTTCTACAACTTGATTGGAATCCACCTGCGGTAAATTCAATTGATTGGACATGATTTGGAAAGGCACACTGTCTATATAAGGTCCCACAGTTGACAGTGCATGTCAGCAAAAACCATGAGGTCGAAGGAATTGTCCGTAGAGCTCCGAGACAGGACTGTGTTGGGGCACAGATCTTGGGAAGGGTACCAAAACATTTCTGCAGCATTGAAGGTCCCAAAGAACACAGTGGCCTCCATCATTCTTAAATGGAAGAAGTTTGGAACCACCAAGACTCTTCCTAGAACTGTCCAAACTGAGCAATCGGGGGAGAAGGGCCTTGGTCAGGGAGGTGACCAAGAACCTGATGGTCACTCTGACAGAGCTCCAGAGTTCCTCTGTGGAGATGGGAGAACCTTCCAGAAGGACTACCATCTCTGCAGCACTCCACCAATCAGGCCTTTATGATAGAGTGGCCAGACGGAAGCCACTCCTCAGTAAAAGGCATATGACAGCCCACTTGGAGTTTGCCAAAAGGCACCTAAAGGACTCTCAGAACATGACAAACAAGATTCTCTCGTCTGATGAAACCTAGATTGAACTCTTTGGCCTGAATGCCAAGCATCACGTCTGGAGGAAACCTGGCACCATCCCTACGGTGAAGCATGGTAGTGGCAGCGTCATGCTGTGGGGATATTTTTCCACGGCAGGGACTGGGAGACTAGTCAGGATCGATGGAAAGATGAACGGAGCAAATTACAGAGAGATCCTTGATGAAAACCTGCTCCAGAGCGCTCAGGACCTCAGACTGGGGAGAATGTTCACCTTCCAACAGGACAACGACCCTAAGCACACAGCCAAGACAACACAGGAGTGGCTTCGGGATAAGTCTCTGAATGTCCTTGAGTGGCCCAGCCAGAGCCCAGACTTGAACCCGATCGAACATCTCTGGAGAGACCTGAAAATAGCTGTGCAGCAACGCTCCCCATCCAACCTGACAGAGCTTGAGAGGCTCTGCAGAGAAGAATGGGAGAAACTCCTCAAATACAGGTGTGTCAAGCTTGTAGCGTCATACCAAAGAAGACTCGAGGCTGTTTTTTATGTTTTATTTTTGTGCAAAAATGTCTAAAAACCTGTTTTTGCTTTGTCATTATGGGGTACTGTGTGTAGATTGATGGGGGGGGGGGGGAAACAATTTAATAAATTTTAAGAATAAGGCTGTAACGTAACAAAATCAAGGGGGCTGAATACTTTCCGAATGCGTTGTACCTTGGGGTGACGTTTTCATAGCCGTGTAATTCTCTCAGACAGTGTGAGTTTTACCAATATATTCGCCTCAATTTACTCTAAAACATTTGGCATGCTAATTGTTGATAAAAGTTACCTTTGCCCGAGAGAGATTTGCACGGTTATCAAAACGTCATGCCAGTGTAAGCCTACACGAAACACAGACCTTATATAAAAGTAGTTCTAAAATCCCAGATGGAAAAATCAATGGTGGAAAAACGATTGGAACCATTTCTGGGTTTTATGACTCATACTGTGGTACTCAGTACTTGATAAGAGCTGTGATTCGATAACTTTGTATTTCACATTTCATGCATGGGCTGAGAGAGTTCCTAACTAACTAACTAACAAGTTTTACCTGAGGACCTCCCGGCCCCTCCAGAGACCACCATGCCCCCTCCCAGGTCAGCCCCTCCAGAGACCACCATGCCCCCTCCCAGGTCAGCCCCTCCAGAGACCATGCCCCCTCCCAGGCCGGCTCCCTCCAGCAAATGCTTATACTGTTGGATCTCCATCTCTAGACGACTCTTGATGTTCAGAAGGATCTGGGAGAGCGAGCGAGAGAGGGGGAGGTTGAGAGCGAGGGGGGGGGGGGGGGGGGTGAGGGAGAGAGGAAAGGGGGAGAGGGAGCGAGGGAGAGAAGTGGAGAGGTAATTTACGATTGAGCTTACCATGGATGCGATCTCTGTGAATGCTGGGGAAATTACGCATTGTGGGCTGTCTGTATCGCTGCTCTGTAACCCGCCTTGGATTGAATCCCTAATCACTGTTTGTGAGTGATTCAGTATAGAGGTATGGTTACTGTACCTGGTAGTCCTGTCTCTGCTCAGTGGTGCTGGCCCTGATGGAGGTCAGTTCTCCCTCCAGGCCCATCACCTTGCCACTATACCCAGACAGACGCTGCTGGAACTGGGACTGAACCTCCACCAGCCTGGCTTCCAGGTTCGCCATCTGGAGGATGGGAGGGTGGGGGACACACAGAGAGAGAGACACGAAGGACACATACACACACAGATACACAAACACACACACACACACACATTTAGCATGATAGGGATTGGAAACAGAGGATGTGTATAAATGGGGACACTTGGGGAGTATAGGGAGAGAGTGGGGGGTGGGGGGAGACCGGAGGTCCCCACAAGAATAGTAAACAAACAAATATTCTAGGGGGTTTAGGGTTAAGGTTAGAATTAGTGTTATGGTTAGAATTAGGTTTAGGGTTTGGGTTAGGGTTAGGGTAAGAGTACGGGTTAGGGTTAAGGTTAGGGGTTTAGGGGTTTGGGGAAAATAGGATTTTGAATGGGACTGAATTGTGTGTCCCCACAAGGTTAGCTGTATACGACTGTGTGTGTGTGACGTGTGTGTGTGACGTGTGTGTGTGTGTGTGTGTGTGTGTGTGTGTGTGTGTGTGTGTGTGTGTGTGGACGTGTTTAAGTGTTCTTGTGGGCACCAGACATTTTGTTGGTCCCTACAAGGTCAAATGCTATTTCTAGGGGGTTTAGGGTTAAGGTTAGAATTAGTGTTATGGTTAGAATTAGGTTTAGGGTTAGGAGCTAGGGTTAGGTTTAGGAGCTAGGGTTAGGGTTAGGGGTTAGGGTTAGGGTTAGTGTAAGAGTACGTGTTAGGGGTTAGGGGTTAGGGGTTTAGGGAAAATAGGATTTTGAATGGGACTGAATTGTGTTGTGTGTGTGTGTGTGTGTGTGTGTGTGTGTGTGTGTGTGTGTGTGTGTGTGTGTGTGTGTGTGTGTGTGTGTCTGTGTGTCTGTGTGTGTGTGTGTGTGTGTGTGACTCACCCCCATACGTAGACCCTGGTATTCCATCTGTAGGGTCTGGTAGCGGTTCCGTAACTCTGTCATCTCTGACGTGGTCCTAGTGGTCGTCTCAGTCACCACCGCTGACTCTGCCTGCTTCATCTCCACCTGACACACACACACACACACACACACAGAGACACGTCACACACACACACAGAGACACGTCATACACACACACACACAAACACACACACACACACACACACAGAGACACATCACACACACACACACACACACAGAGACACATCACACACACACACACACATCACACACACACACACAGAGAGACACGTCACACACACACACAGAGACACATCACACACACACACACACACACACACACAGAGACATGTCACACACACACATACAGCACCTCTGATACATGTTTTAACGTTGGCCTGTGGTAGTGCCTGCGTTGGCGTGGTAACAGACCTGTTTGGTGTACCAGGCCTCGGCCTGTCTGCGGTTTTTCTCCACGGCCGACTCGTACTCCGACCTGACTTCAGCCAGCATCAGAGACAAGTCCTGGCTCTTAGCAGCCTGGACATCCACCTTCACCTGGCCGCTCATCCCCCCACGCATGGACAACAGCTCCTAGAGAGGTCACAGCTTAGGGGTTAGGGGTCAGAGGGTGAGAGAGAATGAACTAAGAGATACACCGAGGGAGAGAGAGACAGACAGAGAGAGAAACAGAGAAAAAGAGAGAGAGACAGGTGTGCCCTTACCTCTTCATGGCTCTTCGTCATGGAGAGCCGTTCCTTCTCGTACCCCTGCAGGTCCTGCATCATGGCTGTGATGTTCATCTCAAACTCCCGCTGCAGGTTCCTCAGACCCCCGATGTCCCCCTCCACACACTGGCGCAAAGACTTCTCATTCTCCCATCTGGCAGAGATACAGTGTGAATAGAGACGACACCATATTCAGTGTGACAGAATCATTTCTGTTCTACACCATACATTTCTATCAGAACGTCTTGTAACGTTCTCCTGAACAGGCCCAGAGAGACGAGTGAGAGATCCGTTAACTCTTTGGGGTTTTAGGCTGGGTGTCTGTAAATCACTTTGTGACAACTGCTGATGTAAAAAGGGCTTTAAGAAATGACTGAGATTGATTGATTGATTAATTGATTGATTGATAACTGCAAGATAAGGCCCAATAGTACTATTTCATAGCCTACACGCTACACACAGTGAGCATTTCAACCATAGAAACAGAATCAATCTAGTGATATGATTTCAACACCGGGCCAGGAAAACTCGATAACTGCCATGGTTTTGTTATAAGAAATATACACTACATGGCCAAAAGTATGTGGACACATGCTTGTCGAACATCTCATTCCAAAACCATGGGCATTCATATGGAGTTGGTCCCCCCTTTGCTGTAATAACAGCCTCCTCTCTTCTGGGAAGGCTTTCCACTAGATGTTGGAACATTGCTGCGGGGACTTGCTTCCGTTCAGCCACAAGAGCATTAGTGAGGTTGGGCACTGATGTTGGGCGATTAGGACTGGCTCGCAGTCGCGTTCCAATTCATCCCAAAGGTGTTCGATGGGGTTCAGGTCAGGGCTCTGTGCAGGCCAGTCAGGTTCTTCCACACCGATCTCGACAACCCATTTCTGTATGGACCTCGCTTTGTGCATGGGGGCATTGTCATGCTGAAACAGGAAAGGGTCTTCCTCAAACTGTTGCCACCTAGTTGGAAGCACAGAATCGTTTAGAATGTCATTGTATGCTGTAGCGTTAAGATTTCCCTTCACTAAAACTGGTGAAGTGTGATTCATCACTCCAGTGAACGTTTTTCCACTGCTTCAGAGTCCAATGGGGGCGAGTTTTACACCATTCCAGCCGACTTTTAGCAATGCGAATGGTGATCTTAGGCTTGTGTGCGGCTGCTCGGCCATGGAAACCCATTTCATGAAGCTGCTGACGAACAGTTATTGTGCTGACGTTCCTTCCGGATGCAGTTTGGAACTCAGTAGTGAGTGTTGCAACCGAGGACAGACGATTTTTACATGCTACGCGCTTCAGCACTTGGCAGTCCTGTTCTGTGAGCTTGTGTGGCCTACCACTTCGCGGCCGAGCCGTTGTTGCTTCTAGACGTTTCCACTTCACAATAACAGCACTTACAGTTGACCGGGGCAGCACTAGAAGGGTAGAAATTTGACGAACTGAGATGTTGGAAAGATGGCATCCTATGACAGTGCCACGTTGAAAGTCACTGAGCTCTTCAGCAAGGCCATTCTATTGCCAATGTTTGTCTATGGAGAATGCATGGCTGTGTGCTCGATTTTATACACCTGTCAGCAACAAGTGTAGCTGAAATAGCCTAATCCACTAATATTAAGGGGTGTCCACATACGTTTGTATATATAGTGTATGTTTTGTAATCTGAGAGTGATAGATAATTAAGAAATCAGCTGGGTTACAACGACAAGCAAAGTCCCTATAGAAGTAGCCTATGATAACAGTGAGCATTTAATCTCCCAAGCACAGCTGTTAGCCTGGGTTAACTGTCTGTTTGTGCTATCGTTCCAGTCCTTGCCACTCCATGTTTGGAATGTGACACGGAGTAAAAAGGAGTGGAAATGTTAGCACAAACACACTGGTTCCAGGCTAACAGCTGTGTCTTCTAATTCACGTATTTGCCATTTCCTGACGACAAATTGGCCAATAGATTGGGGCTACAGGAGAAGATCAGTATGAAGTCATGAATAGAGCTGATTGGACCATCTATAGGATACAGCTGATTGAATTATTTTCTTTATTGGTATCTACTTCATTGATACATAGTGTATTTATTTTTGATTCATTCTATTAGGTTACAACTGTGTGGGAGTGGTGCGTAAAGAAACATTCTCCTCCAGGACTTAAAACATGTTTCACTGTTTGTTAATGACATTAATCAGGATTTGTCCAGTATGTATCAATGAGATACCTTAATGAAGAAAATCATTCAATCAAGTTTCCATGACAATCTACTCAAAATGTTGCCAAGGAAATGTCCCTATGGGACACTAAAGTATTCATCCAACCATCCATTCATGCATCCATTCATCCATCCAATCATCCATTCATTAATTAATTCATTCATTCATCCATCCATCCATTCATGCATCCATCTATCCATCCATCCATCCATTCATCCATCTATTCATCCATCCATCCTACTTGACTCTGAAGTCGTCAGCAGTCAGCTTGGCATTGTCTATCTCCACAGCAATCTGAGTGTTCTGTATCAGGAAACCCATGAGCTGCAGACAGAGACAGGAGTCAGCCACAGTGTGTGTGTGTTTGTGTGTGTGTGTGTGTGTGTGTTTGTGTGTTTGTGTGTGTGTTTGTGTGTGTGTGTGTGTGTGTATGTGTGTGTGTGTTTGTGTGTTTGTGTGTATGCACATGTTTAACTATTCTTGTGGGGACCAGAAGTCCCCACAAGAATAGTAAACGAACAAACATTTGACCAACTGGGGACATTTTGTTACTCAATAACGTACCCATAATGTACTCAAACATATATGACTATATCATAATGTACTCAATAACGTACCCATAATGTACTCAAACATATATGACTATATCAAATATAGATAAGATCATCTACAATACTGGATATTATTTTTGGGAAAAAACATCCCAAAACATTTCGCAGTGGGCACATACTGTATGTCAATTCAACGTCTGTCCCACGTTGGTTCAACGTAATTTCATTGAAATGACGTGGAAACAAAGTTGATTGAACCAGTGTGTGCCCAGTGGGCTAGTTCTTGTGCGCTTTTACGCACAACTTGTACAAATGGCAAGCGCGCTCCGAGAGCGAGAAAGAGAGGGAGAGAGAGACGGAGAGAGATAGTTTTAACGCCTACCTGCTCCTTGAGTGGTTTGAGTGTTGCGTTGTAGATGGTCAGGTCGTGCGCCTCGACCTTGTTGAAGGTGAAAGTCTTCAGCTTCTCCTCCAGCTGGTTATTGGTGGCCTCCAGCTGGCGAACCTTCTCCATGTAGGTTGCCAGGCGGTCGTTCAGGTTGTGCATGTGCTGCTTCTCGTTACCGGCGAACCCGAGGGACTTGTCCCCAACACCTCCACCGAATCCGAAACCTCCTCCTTCGCCGCCACCACCGCCACCGGAGCTCATCCCACTGCCGCCGCCACCGGAGCTCATCCCACTCCCCAGACCGGCCATGTGGCTGGAGGATGACATCCTGAACCCTCCTCCTCCACTACCTCCACCGGCTCCAAAGCCGTTTCCGAAGCCGAGACTAGCGCCTCCGCCCCCGGCCCCTATCCCCATTCTGCCCCCGAAACTGGAGCGCATTGACGACCCCCCGGAGGAGGACAAGGCCATCTTCCGGCTCCCGAACCCGGAGAAAGAGTTAGCGGAGAACCGCTGCTTCCCGGACAGACTCATGGATCACGACTACAACAACGACTACCGAGAGAAAGACACTTCCTATCTTTCGGTCTTCTGTCCTCTACCACTGCTGCTGAGGTTGCGAGGGTCTGAAGACGCTGAGCGAGCCTGTGACCGCGGCTTCTGTCACCGCGCTTCAAGTGTTAATATCCTGCGCAATAAGTGATGGATATATATATAGCGGGACTGGCTCGCTCTCCACGCCCCGGTAAAGCGCAATTGGCCACTGGTAGCCGAACCCCCCCAGCCCCAGGCCAATGTTCCATGATCTTTTGGGTGGAACTGAAGGAACAGGGAGGTGAACTGTGTATTAATGTGACTGTCACGTGGCTAAGGGCGTGGCACTGCACACACTGCACACATGACAGCCCACAGGGCTCTGGGGAAAAGCAGTGCACTATGTAGGGAATAGGGTGCTATTTGGGACGCAACCACAAGTGTTTTTCTATGACTTTTACATAATGGTCCATTAGGGCGGTTCTCATTGAGGGAAAATCATTATTCTGCATCTTTGGTGTGTGTGTGTGTGTGTGTGTGTGTGTGTGTGTGTGTGTGTGTGTGTGTGGGTGTGTGTGTGTGTGTGTGTGTGTGTGTGTGTGTGTGTGTGTGTACCATTGGGTGTGCCCGTGTGTGTAGGTGATGAACATGACAGTTCATGATTGATTGTTGATTTAACTCCAATGTAATAACAGATGCCTGGTTTGAACCGGCCTCCATGGCACAGAAAGCCACACTTGAATTTATGTAACCCTATAAAGATGCCCCCTGATGATCTCTTTTACACTTTTTTGCTGACCGATTCCAACAGATTGCAACAGATTATATCGTCCCAAATTAATAATTAAAAATATAAAACACAGAATAGAGGAGATACCCTAAGGGACAAATTCCTTCTTCGATTCCACCCACAGTGGGGAGAGATCTCTCCTTTCGCGCTCCCACGGTTTGCAGCCAGCGCATTCACGTTGCCTGCAGCTGTGTGCAAAAAAAAACAAGTGGCCCGGTTGCATTTCTTTACCCGGAGCAAAGCGGTTGGATGTTCTTGTTGTTGTTGTTCATCACAGCGAAAGTCATCAAATGAAGCATAACTACATTTGCATGAAGCGTCGAAGGGAACGAATCGTTTAAATGCACATATCAAAGATAGGTTTCTTTGAAGTGTTGTCCTCGCCGACCCCCTTGTGCGCATTGCACAGCTCGAGGCCTCCCACCCGCGAGCCGTGTGCCTAAACTTTTGATACACATTTAAGATTGATTGATGGATTGTTGGAGAGAGGAAGATGGGTGAGAGAGACAGGGGAGCAGAGAGAAAGGGAGAGAGCGTGCGAGACAGAAGAGAGTGAGAGATAGAGAGAAAGGAAAGGGAGAGAGAGAAAGTAAGAGATAAAGAGATAATGATAGTGGGAGAATGGAGAGAGAAACAGTGAGATAAAGAGAGATTGTCTCTTGGCACAGCAGTCAGGGTATGTCATGATTGAACCTGTTAGGATGCTCAGGTGTTCTGCTCACCTGTCGCCCCGGGGGTAGTGGGTACAATTATAGGTCTTATTATTTGGGAGGGGGAGAGGGGGAGGTGGTGGGGGAGATTACGGAGGGGGAGGGGGAACACAGCACCTCGAGTGGGAAAGTGTGTAGTAATTTGGAGAATAAAAATGTATATAAAGCTTATGTAAATATGGAGATTTCAAAACGTATATAAAGCTTATGTAACTATGGCGATATAAAAGGTGTATAAAACTAATGTAACTATGGAGATATAAAAGGTGTATGTGTAGGCCTAAGCAAATTACTTTTACACATGATTATACACACAGGGCCGACAACCTTAGAATCCGTTTGATAACAGCAAGCAGGGCAGTATTATAATAACTCTCTAACCTTGTTCTTCTCACCTCTGAGACAATGGATGGCAGCAGCCCACATTGTGTGGTTTTCCCCAGCCCAGCCCTGTGATGGGAGGACTGTTGGAGGAGTAGTACTAGAACACAGTGTACAGTCTGTCTGCCTGTATCCTTACCCTAGCTCCTAGCCTTCTATGTCCCCTAGCTCCTAGCCTATGTCTCCTTACCCTTGCTCCTAGCCTTCTATGTCCCCTAGTTCCTTGCCTATGAATCCTTACCCTAGCTCATAGCCTTCTATGTCCCCTAGCTCCTAGCCTATGCCTCCTTACCGTAGCTTTCTATGTCCCCTAGCTCCTTGCCTATGTCTCCTTACCCTAGCTCCTAGCCTTCTATGTCCCCTAGCTCCTAGCCTATGCCTCCTTACCGTAGCTTTCTATGTCCCCTAGCTCCTTGCCTATGACTCCTTACCCTAGCTCCTAGCCTTCTATGTCCCCTAGCTCCTAGCCTATGCCTCCTTACCGTAGCCTTCTATGTCCCCTAGCTCCTAGCCCGTCTCCTTACCCTAGATCCTATGTCCCCTAGCTCCTAATCCGTCTCCTTACCCTAGCTCCTATGTCCCCTAGCTCCTAGCCTGTCTCCTTACCCTAGCTCCTATGTCCCCTAGCTCCTGAGGTAATATCTAGATCTGATTGTAGCAAAACGACTTTCAAATGCTCTCAGGTGTCTAGTGTGTAGGGAGGGGGTAGGAGATGGGGAGGAGATGGGGAGGATTCTGATTAATTTCTTTGTGTACGCTGATAATCGTGAGCCCATGCCTCAACACCTTAGAGGTATGCAGACCAGACACAGAGGGGGGGGCAGGGAGAGAGCCAGAGAGAGAGAGAGAGAGAGAGAGAGAGAGAGAGAGAGAGAGAGAGCGAGAGAGAGAGAGAGAGAGAGAGAGAGAGAGAGAGAGAGAGAGAGAGAGAGAGGGAGAGAGAGAAAAACAGGGAGAGAGAGAGACAGAGAGAGAGAGAAACAGGGAGAGAGAAACAGGGAGAGAGCCAGAAAGAGAGAGAGAGAAACAGGGAGAGAGCCAGAGAGAGAGAGAGATACAGGTAGAGGCAGATAGAGAGAGGGGATGGGGGAGAGAGACACAGAGAGAGGAGAGAGAGAGAGAGAGAGAGAGGGATGAAGTGTTGTATGATAGTGGAGTGGTGCATCTTGGGTAATGAGTGTTAACCATGGTGACATCAGATCTCTCATCACACCCTTTATTTTCCAGTTACATGGCTAAAGCAATTGCACAGCAGGAATCACTAACAACACCTGTGTGGTGTGTGTGTGTGTGTGTGTGTGTGTGTGCGTGCGTCCATCTTTGAGAGAGCAAAAAAGTGCATGTCGTGTGTATGTGCATGTTTGTGTGTGTGTGCGTGTGTGTGTTGCATCTCATTGACATGCAGTACCAGTCAAAGGTTTGGACACATACTAATTCAAGAGGTTTTTCTTTATTTTTACTATTTTCTACATTGTAGAATATTAGTGAAGACATCAAAACTATGAAATAACACATATGGAATCATGTAGTAACCCACAAAGTGTTAAACAAATCAAAATATATTTTATATTTGAGATTCTTCAAAGTAGCCACCCTTTGCCTTGATGACAGCTTTGCACACTCTTGGCAAAATAGGGTTTGTGTGAGTGAGTGAGTGAGTGAGTGAGTGAGTGAGTGAGTGAGAGAGAGAGAGAGAGAGAGAGAGAGAGAGAGAGAGAGCGAGATAGACGAGCGCGAGAGAGCGAGCGAGAGGAGACGAGAGAGAGAGAGCGAGATAGCGAGAGAGAGGAGAGAGCGAAGAGAGAGAGAGAGAGAGAGAGAGAGAGAGAGAAGAGAGAGAGAGACCAATTAGTCAGGTTCAGACGGCAGTTTAGTGTTTAGTTCAGATAGACAGAGAGTCAGGTTTTAAAACACATCTACTTTATTAACCACACTGTACCATGGGGGGGGGGGGGGGGGGGGGGGGGGGGGGGGGGGGGGGGGGTTATAACCCCTGTCCCCTGACCTTTAACCTTCAGGGTTTTACATTCCCATAAGAACCAGTGCTTGACTTGGACTGAAATAGGTGCCATTACTCATGTTGAGTGCTGGTACTGTTTATATTTAGGTGCAGGAACTCTGCAGTAGTTTAGAGCTAATATTCTGTAAGAGGTGTAGGAACTCAAGTAGAACATTTGAGGTGCCATTAGGTTCCGTTAAGTTCCGATCAGTTCCGGTGAGTTCCAGTTCCGGTGGGCTCCTGCCCAAGTCAAGCACTGTAAGAACACATATCCATGCTGCAGCGTCTTTGTACAAATCAGTCATGGCAGTTTAGGGATGGATTCAATCCAAAGCGCAGAACATCCATCCGCCTTATAGCGTGATTTAAATTTAAAGGTCATTTCCGATTTGGCCAACATATTCAGCATTTATCGAGAATTCAGTCTCGGCGAATGCGGGAACAGTGCTTTTAAATTTCAGTCGAGCCATGGCGCTGATCGGATTGAATCTAGGCCTTAGTCTGCCAGTGATGGCCCGTCCGTCAAAACTATGTACAATCTTTGATTTTGTGCTATTTGGTGAACAAACATCTAGTGTTCTTTTCTCCTATTCACATTAAAGAAGCAACAAATGTCTTCCATTCCTTGTTTTGACTGTGGTTTTGCAGAATAATAAAAGTCCACATTTCAAAATAAAAGTTCCGTGCCTGCCAGTCGTTGGGCAGAAGGCATTAGAAGGATTGTGTTAGTGTTATAAAACTGAAAACTTTAGTCAACCTAAACAATGGCTATCAGCATGCTTCCAGCCTTTCAGCTAGTAGTGAACAGAACAGAAGATAAGGCCAAAGGGTTTTAGACAGAAAAACAATCATTTTGTTCCTCAGTCATTTACAGGAGAACGTTTTAACTAAAAAAGAGAAAGATACACTTTTTGTGTAAAGAGTTTGTTTCCTGTGTAGCATAACCATTTAAAGATTGAAAAAGTAATTTTTACAACAACGGCTGGTCTTCAGTATCCCCCGCGTGTGGAAGAGTCTTAGAGCCCTCTCTATAAGGGTGGATAGTTGGACTGTTCCATTTCCATGCACATACAAGGGAGGGGAAGTACCTCGTCAATAGTCAGTAGGTCCGATGAGATTTAAGGGCGAGTGGGGTAGTGCGTCCCATGTAGGACGAAAGGTAATGACGGTGTGTGTGTTTGTGTGTTTGTGTGTTTGTGTGTGTTTGTGTGTGTGTGTGTATGTGTGCATCCATTCCTGTATGTATATATATATATATATATTTATTTTGGCTTGCCAGGCCTCTTGCTGTGCCACAGGTGTCCTGGTAACGTGAAGGCGTCGACGCTCATGGACATGGTCTTGGACGGGATACAGCTGAACTGCTTCCTGTCGGAGCTGTACTTATAGATGGACTCCACCAGGGCGGGGCTTACGACACGCGGGCCCACCCCGGCCAATCGGATGAGCTCGTCAGTCTCGGGGCTCATGGTGTAGACGGCTCGGAACTGACAACTGGAATCACGGAACAGAATCAGGAAGTGGTTGGCTGGACTCTTCTCCATCTCCTGGTGGGGGAAGGGGGGAGAAAACAATGTGTGTGTGTGTATGAAAACTTGTCTTCAGTGGGTGTTTGTACTGTGTGTCTGTGCACTTTTTGGCAGTATTTCAAAGAAAACTAATTTGAAGTCAGGTTTGGTTAGTTAGTAGTGTGTGTATGGGTTGTGTGATATACAGTGATGACTACCAACCTCCACCATCTTGTTCTTCTGAGTCTCGTTGACCTTGCCAGCCAGACAGCAGCGAGACAGGGCGTTGTGGATGATGAACTTATTGGACTTGAAGCTCGGCTCCTTGAACAGTTTGGGCCCTGGGATACACACACACACACACACACACACACACACACACACACACACACACACACACACACACACACACACACACACACACACACACACACACACACACACAGGTACAGTACACACAGGCACACACAGGTACCCACAAACACATACAAGCAAGTTTAGATTTGATTTAGGGTGCAACAGTTTTATAACAGGACAATACTTTGACATCATTCCATTTCCCATCACATGGTGTCATACCGGAGTATTCTGGGATGGAAGGGGAGGAGCCATTGGAGCCGATCTCCCAGTCCTTATCTCCGTTCTGATTGGCCAGTCGGCTCGGTGACATCAGACGGGAGGGCGAATCAGGGCGGCTGGAAGAGAGGAAGGGAGAGGAGAGGAGAGGAGAGGAGAGGAGAGGAGAGGAGAGGAGAGGAGAGAAGAATAAGTGTTACCCGTCTAAGGAATCTGACATGTTTTAAATCAGGAATGGGCAACTGGCATTTCTCCCCCAAAATAACAAAACAATTATTGTTTTGGGGGGTGGGACTCAGTCGGGGTTAGAATAGTACAATACACAAGGTGCCATTTTGAAATTTGGTTGCATCAGCAGTTTTTCCTCTTGTTTTGTCAGTCACTGACAGTCACTCAATTAGCAAATTCCAGCTAAATGTTTTTAGATTGCTAAGTTAGTCTAGTGGCCAGCTATGTAAACTTGTAATCATGGTCGAATTACCGGCCCCATTGATTTTTCTCCACCCAATGGCAAAATGTGTAGAATTGCAGGAAATTAGTTGTAACATTTCCAACTCTTGGATGTGGGTACGTAGATGTGTCAGCAACTGCGGCCCCTTATGATGAGTTCAGATTTTTTGTGGCACCCACCCCCATTAAAGTTGCCCATCCTGTTTTAAATGAATTGTTGTTTTCACTTCTATGGTAGTTGTGAATAGTTCAGTTGGCCTTTTTTTATACCCTGGATGAATGAATATACGAGAGAGAGAGAGAGAGAGAGAGAGAGAGAGAGAGAGAGAGAGAGAGAGAGAGAGAGAGAGAGAGAGAGAGAGAGAGAGAGAGAGAGAGAGAGAGAGAGAGAGAGAGAGAGAGAGAGAGAGAGAGAGAGAGAGAGAGAGAGAATACAAACCCTCCAACCCAAAAAGGCCTGTGATGTTGATGGTATCCTCAATTAAATTATAAAATATACAGACCACAAATTCCAATTGGCTATCCTGCTGCTACTCTGTTTATTATTTATGCATAGTCACTTTAACTCTACCCACATGTACATATTACCTCAATGCTCTTTAGTTATTTGCTTTTATTTTTTATTTTATTTTACTTTGCATTGTTGGTTAAGGGCTTGTAAGTAAGCATTTCACTGTAATGTCTACACCTGTTGTATTCAGCGCATGTGGCAAATAAAATTTGATTTGATATACTTAAACTCTTTAACATCATCCTTAGCTCTGGCATCTTCCCCAATATTTGGAACCAAGGACTGATCACCCCAAGATAAATTTGACCCCAATAACTACGGTGGGATATGCGTCAACAGCAACCTTGGGAAAATCCTCTGCATTATCATTAACAGCAGACTCGTACATTTCCTGCGGTTAAAATTGGCAAAAAACACACACATTTCTTGCAGCTTAAGCCCCTCCCTCTTCAACATATACATCAACAAATTGGCGAGGGCACTAGAACAGTCTGCAGCACCCGGCCTCACCCTACTAGAATCTGAAGTCAAATGTCTACTGTTTGCTGATGATCTGGTGCTTCTGTCACCAACCAAGGAGGGCCTACAGCAGCACCTAGATCTTCTGCACAGATTCTGTCAGACCTGGTCCCTGACAGTAAATCTCAGTAAGACCAAAATAATGATGTTCCAAAAAAGGTCCAGTTGCCAGGACCACAAATACAAATTCCATCTAGACACCGTTGCCCTAGAGCACACAAAAAACTATACTTACCTAAACATCAGCACCACAGGTAACTTCCACAAAGCTGTGAACGATCTGAGAGGCAAGAAGGGCCTTCTATGCCATCAAAAGGAACATAAAATTTGACATACCAATTAGGATCTGGCTAAAAATACTTGAATCAGTTATAGAACCCATTGCCCTTTATGGTTGTGAGGTCTGGGGTCCGCTCACCAACCAAGAATTCACAAAATGGGACAAACACCAATTTGAGACTCTGCATGCAGAATTTGGCAAAACTATCCTCTGTGTACAACATAAAACACAAAATAATGCAGAGCAGAATTAGGCCGATACCCTCTAATGATCAAAATCCAGAAAAGAGCCATTAAATTCTACTACCACCTAAAAGGAAGCGATTCCCAAACCTTCCATAACAAAGCCATCACTTACAGAGAGATGAACCTGGAGAAGAGTCCCCTAAGCAAGCTGGTCCTGGGGCTCTGTTCACAAACACAAACAGATCCCACAGAGCCCCAGGACAGCAACACAATTAGACACAACCAAATCATGAGAAAACAAAAAGAGAATTACTTGACACATTGGAAATAATTAACAAAGAAACAGAGCAAACTAGAATGCTATTTGGCCCTAAACAGAGAGTACACAGTGGCAGAATACCTGACCACTGTGACTGACCCAAAATTACAGACTCAAAATGTACAGACTCAGTGAGCATAGCCTTGATATTGAGAAAGGCCGCCGAAGGCAGACCTGGCTCTCAAGAGAAGACAGGCTATGTGCACACTGCCCACAAAATAAGATGCAAACTGAGCTGCACTTCCTAACCTCCTGCCAAAGGTATGACCATATTAGAGACACATATTTCCCTCAGATTACAAAGATCCACAAAGAATTTGAAAACAAACCCAATTTTGAACAACTCCCTTATCTACTGGGTGAAAAACCACAGTGTGCCATCACAGCTGCAAGATTTGTGACCTGTTGCCGCAAGAAAAGGGCAACCAGTAAAGAACAAACACCATTGTAAATACAACCCATATTTATGTTTATTTATTTTCCCTTTTGTACTTTAACTATTTGCACATTGTTACAACACTGTATATATACATACTATGACATTTGAAATGTCTTTATTCTTTTTGGAACTTCTGAGTGTAATGTTTACTGTTAATATTTATTGTTTATTTCACTTTTGTTTACTACCTACTTCACTTGCTTTGGCAATGTTAACATACGTTTCCCATGCCAATAAAGCCCTTAAATTGAAATTGAATTAAATTGAGAGAGAGAAGGAGAGAGAGAGAGAGAGAGAGAGAGAGAGAGAGAGAGAGAGAGAGAGAGAGAGAGAGAGAGAGAGAGAGAGAGAGAGGTAGAAGTGTTACCTGGATGGTTTCTTGCTAGGGTCAGGGACGGTGTTGTCAGGGACGGTGTTGTCAGGTACAGTGTTGTCAGGGACGGTGTTGTCAGGGACGGTGTTGTCAGGGACAGTGGTGTCAGGGACAGTGTTGTCAGGGACTGTGATTCCTGAGTCATCAGCCATAGCAGCCAAGTTGAGAGAGGAGTGAGAGTACACCTTAGTCAACTTAGAACCTGGAGAGAGAGAAGTAGGGAGAGAGAAGTAGGAGAGAGAGGAGGAGAGGAGAGAGGGAGAGATTGATATCGATAGCGAGAACGAGAGAGTCGAGAGGGAGAGAGATGCTGGCAGAAGGATAGAGAGATACAGATTAGAGTAGAGCCCCGGTCTCGCGGTCGCCAAGCAATCCTCATCCGGCTTAGAGAGGGAGGTTTGATAGCATTCTTTCTCTCTCTCGTTCTCGTCTCCTTCTCCTCGCCTTCTCTTCTTCTTCCTCCTTTTCTGCTCTCCTCTTCCTCTCTCTGCTCCTCCCTTCCTCTCTCTCTTCTCCTTCGCTCCTCCTTCTCTCTCCTTCTTCTCTCTCTCTCCTCTCTCTCTCCTCTCCCTCTTCTCTCTCGCTCTTTCTCTCTCCTTCTTTCCATCCTCTCTCTCCGCTCCCTCTCCTCTCTCTCCTCTCTCTCTCCTTCTGCCTCACGTCGTTCTCTCTCTCCCTTCTCTCTCCTGTTCTCTCTCCCGCTCTCTCGGTTGCGCTCTCGCTCGCGCCTTCTGCGGCGCCGCGTGCTCTCCGCTTCTTCGCTCTCTCCTTTCCTCCGCTGGGCCCTGGCGGCGCGTCCTCGCCTCGCCGCGTGCTCTGCGCTGCTCCTGGCTGTCCTTCGGGCTGGCGCGTGCCTTTCTACTCGCCTTCCCGCGCCGGGCTCGCTCCGGCTGCCGACGTCGCGCGGGCGCTTCTCGCTCGCCGTGGCGCGCGCGCCTCGTGGCGCGCGCCTCGGGCGCGACGCGCCGGGCGCGCCGGGGGCTCGTGCCGGGTCGCGCCGGGCGCTCGCCTCGGTCCGCGCCGTCGGTGCGCGCCGCGGCGCGCGCGGGCGCGCGCGCGGCCGTGCGGTGCGCGCCGGCGCGCGCGCCGTCGGTCGGCGCGCCGTCGGGGCGCGCCGGCGGGCGCGCGCCGGCGTCGCGCCGGCGGGCGCGGCGCAGTCGGCGCGCGCCGCCGCTCGGAGCGCGCGCGCCGTCCGGCGCGCGCGCCGGCGGCGCGCCGCGCCTGTCGCTCGCCTGCGGGAGAGAGAGAGAGGGCGGTACAGTATATGATAACTTGTCACTATGCAGAGTAAAGTAGCAGAAGACTAGAGCATCAGGGTGTTAGTGCTGGGATGGAACAAGAGCCTGCATCTCCGTTCCCCCTCCCTCCCAGACACTGTAAAGGGGAACAGTGGAGCGTCGGGCTAACACACACAAACACACACACAGTGGTACAATTCCATTACCCGTAGTGCTCCTGGCTGGGCTGCGGGACAGCTGTGACTCCTCCCGGGTCATGCTCCGAGGTCGGGGGCGGGACTTCTTGGCGGCGGCTCGTCCCTGATTGGTGGCTTTCTGACGCAGCACCTTATCCAGATCAGACATGATGCGTATCTGCTGGCGGTGGGCGTACTCCCTCCGCGTGAAATCACCTCGGCGACTGGGCGTGGTCGGAGGGGTGAGGGAGGGGACACCGGCGGCGGGGGGAGTGGGAGGGGTCCAGGGGAGAGAGCCTCTTCGCTCCTCCTCAAAGGGGGGTCTAAAAGAAAGATGAAGGGGAAGGGGGGTTAGTATTATGGTGATGATCAATGTGTTTATTTCAAGTGGATGATGAGTGTGTCTGTGTGTGTGTGTGTGTGTGTGACCTGCTCTCTCTCTCCTGTTCGTTCCACTGTCTCCTCCTCTTCAGTTCCTCTGTTCTTTTCTGCTGTCTCTCCAACAGGGCAGCTCTCCTCTGAGCCATCTCATCTTCACAACGCACCTCCTCCTGCACACACACACACACACCAAACACATACATTGTCATTACTTTATTTGCTACCACTAGAAACACATCATCTTTGATTTTCTTATGAGTCAATAACGAAATGATGAACTTCATTTAAAGTTGTCTTATCTACATCTAAGGGCCTAGAGGGCAGGGGTTAGTTAGGGCTTGTTTCTGGGAGGGACTATTCTCTTTTTCTCTCTCTCCTCTCGCTCTCCCTCTCTCTCCCTCTCTCTCCCTCTCTCTCTCTCTCTCTCCCTCTCTCTCTCTCTCTCTCTCTCTCTCTCCCTCTCTCTCTCTCTCCCCTCTCTCTCTCTCTCTCGCTCCCTCTCTCTCCTTCTCTCTCCCTCTCTCTACCTCCGCCAGACTCACCTTGAAGAAGAAACCAACCCCTCCTCTCGCCTCCGGTTCCGTCTGCTCCGTGGGTTCCACTGAGGTTTCTAGGAGTTCTGTGTTCTGTGTCTGTTCTACTCTTGGTTCTACTTGATCCCCCGTAGATTCTCTCGGTTCTCCCATGGGTTCCGTAGGTTCCAACGTTTCTCCTATTGGAGGTTCTGTGTGGTCGCTCATGGAGTCAGAGAAGAACTCCTGTCCTTCTGTGTCAGTTGGCTCGTCACTGCCCCCCTCTGGCCCCCCCAGGGATGACAACGACCCCTCCATCAGGCTGCCACGCGTCCCTCCTCCTACTCCACCTGCTCCTCCTCTCCCTCCCTCCCCTCCTCCGCAGTAAGCGGCCAACAGCGACAGGGTCTCGCTCTCAAAGGAGCACTCGGAGGGGGCTCCAGAGCTGCTGCCACCCCCAGAACGGCCTCTCCTGGACTGGGGAAACACGGGCCGGCCTCCCCCTGACCCCTCCTGCTCCTCCAGCTCCAGGTTGAACTGGGTGGGCGTCTCGCTGGAGCCCGTCTCCGAGGTACTCTCCTCGGGCTGGGGCAGCAGGGTGGCAGGGGGCACCTGGGGGGTGCAGGGGCCCCCGATACGGAAAGAGGAGGAGGTCTGTACCTGGCACTGGCTGGGGGAGACGCGTCGCAGGTGGGGGAGGGAGTCTACATGCTGCGGGGGGGTGAGGACACGAGTGGAGGGAGGGAACTTCAACTCAGAGGGGCGGGAGTGGGGGTGGGAGGGGCGCGGGTGGTGTTTAGGGCTACGGGGGGTGGAGGACGAGGAGGAGTGGATCTTGGTGCGGGGGGCAGGGCAGGAGGAGGAGATGGGGGTTTTGGGAGGGGTGGAGGAGAGGTGGGGGAGGGCCCGGCGAGAGGGGGAGGTAGTGGAGGTGGGGTGTTTGGAGCCTGCTGGGATCACCCAAGCCTTACTGATGCTCTTGGTCGGGGTTCTAGTCGGACTCTTAGTGGGGGTCCTGGGTGGTGTCCTGGGTGTAGTTTTGGGTGTAGTTTTGGGTGCAGTTTTGGGTGTCGTTTTGGGTGTGGTTTTGGGTGTGGTCCTCTTGCCCATTAGCTGTTGTTGTTGTTGGGTCAGCTTCTGCATGTCGTTCTGTAGTGACCTCAGAGCCTCACTCAGCTTCAGGACCACCTCATTATACTCCCCTAGAACAGCCCCTCCCCCCGGCTCAGGCCCCTCCCATTTCTCCGCCCCTTTCTCCGCCCCCTTCATCGTATCCATGGAGAACGTCACCTGCTTCTCCAATCGCAGCTGGGGGCGGGAGTTCCCTTCTTCTGCCTTCCCTTTCTCCTCCTCCTTTTCTCTCTCCTCCTTCTCCTCCTCCTCTTTCAGCTGCTCCTCCATGCGGCTGAGACGCTCCTCCAGAGACAGAGGCTCCTCTCCTCCCTCTCCTCCCTGTCCTCCCTGTCCTCTCTTCAGCTGTAGGAAGGCAGTCTGGCCCAGCCTCTGTCTGTGTCTGGTGAATATGGCCTCAATGCGTCTCTTCTGGGCCTCGATGGCTCTGCGTTTCTCCTCCAGGCGGGCCCCCAGCTCCCAGGCCTCTGTACCGGCTCAGGGTGCTTCCCTCCTGGGCTGGGGGTGGTGTGGGTGGGGGTATGGAGGGTGGGTGTGGTGGGGGTCGGGGTGTTGACTGACTCCTCTCCCGGTGCGGCCGGCTGTCTCCTTCTGTCCCGCCGCTCGGCGAAGCTCGTCATCCTTGGGCTGCCGCCACTGCCACCGCCGCTGCTGCCACCGGTGCTGCTGATGCTGCCGCTGCCGTGACAACCGAGGCCAGGGCGGACGTTGCCGGGGGCGTTTCTAGGAAGGTCGTCGGAGGCTTCCGATGAGTCCACGCTTCCATCGCGGAGGACCGAGTCGTCATCCCGCGAACCTTCCGATGTCCGTCTCCCCCTCTCCCTGCCTCCCACTCTCCGCCGCTCTCCTTCCCCCCCCTCCCCTCCTATTGGCCGGTAGAGCATTCCGGAGCGGCAGGGGGCGGAGCTGCTGATCTGGGTCAGGTCGTCTTCAGGAGAATGAAGGAAGAAACCTGCAGGAGCTCCTTCTGGACGCAAGCGTGGCTCAGGCCTTCCTCCTCCTCCTCTTCCTCCTTCTTTATCTCCTTTCCCTCCTCCTCCTCTTTCTCCTCCTCCAGGAGTGTGGATGATCTCGATGGTCGGCAGCCCCACTAGGGCCGGTGTGTGCTGGCCGCAGGAGGAGCGTTGAGGGACAGAGGCGCTGACCAGGTGACTGAGGTCCTCGGGGGGTCTGTAGGGGACCCGTGTCATCCCCGATGTCATCATGGCGGGCACTCCGGCGGTCAGGCTGTTGGTGCTGGCGGAATGCACAGGGTTGCCCATGACAACGTCCACGTCACTGTCCAGACCGAACGGAATACTGAAGGTCACAGCCGAGAGAGGACGACTGGAGAGAGAGAGGGGGAGAGAGAGAGAGAGAGAGAGAGAGGAAGCGAGAAAAAGAGAGGGAGAGGGAGGTTGAGGTTCAATCAACTGGTAGGATGGTATGTATATATATTTCCACAGGCTGAAACAGTCAGCCATCCTACTCACCGGATGTGTTTCTTGGTCCACATATTCCCTTCTAAATGTGACAGAAAGGGAGATGTAGTCAGGAAGAGATCTCCAATAATTAGACAACGTTTGGCCTTCTCTCAATTATAACTCCTCACGTCCTCTCTCCCTCTTCTTCTCAAAACCCATTGGATGAAAAAGCCAGAGGTCCCGCCCCTCTGACGTTTGCCCTCCAATGGGCTTTGAGAAGTAAACGAGGCGAGAGGACGCAAGGAGTATATAATTGAGAACTGCCCACAGACACAGAAAGGCAGCTTTTAACTACATTACCCAGAATCCTCATCTCTCTTACCAGGTGACACAGGAGAGGATATGGGGACGAAAGGCTGTTTAAAGATATAGGAAGGAGAGCCACTGGAACAGAAAATACATTATTATTCACAATTACTCTTTCTGCAATATACATACATGTCTTATTCTGCCATAAATACAATAAACAGGACATGTGGATAGGTTTCTGTTTTGTCTCTCACTGCATGCTCTTTGGGATCTAGACCCATAACACTTACATCATGACAAGAGCCCTGAAAAGTTCACATTTTAGAGACAACAATGATATTCAGTATATATTACATACTCATAGTAATGGATCTGAAAGAACATGAAAATGCATTGGACTTGATTGATTGATGTAGTTTCACGGTTGCTTTGCACAGTCAAATAATAACTATATGTATAATTCATTTGTGTGTGTGTGTGTGTGTGTGTGTGTGTGTGTGTGTGTGTGTGTGTGTGTGTGTGTGTGTGTGTGTTGTGTGTGTCAGCTGTTTCCTGATTTTACCTGTTGCTGTTCCCACTGACAGGACTGGTGCAGTCCAACAACCCTGAGGCATCTGGCACACGCACACAGAGAAACATATTAATGTTATCAGACATAACACTAAATAAGCAGGTTATACAGTAGTCTATCTCTCTCTCTCTCTCTCTCTCTC